TCGATTGATGGTTTGGATTGGTTTAATACCTCAAATGGGGAAGAATCTTGGAGGATTCTTGTGGGAAGCCTATTGATCAGATAGCAGGCCGTGACTACAGCATCTCCCCAAAATCTCTTGGGCACGTTCATATGAAACATTAGGGACCTGGCCACCTCCATAAGATGCCTGTTCTTCCTCTCAGCAACTCCATTTTGCTGAGGAGTGTAAGGGCAGCTCGTTTGGTGCACTATACCATGCTGAATAAGGTGTTGTCTAAAGGCTTGGCTTGTGTATTCTCCACCATTATCTGATCTAAACACTTTGATCTTAGCATTATAATGGTTAGTTACATACTTTTGAAAGTTCATAAAAGCCTCTAGCACCCTATCTTTAGATGGCAACAAAGTTATCCAAGTGTATTTAGACTTCTCATCAATAAAGGTAACAAAATATTTATGATTCTCTCTAGACATGCAAGGAGAAGTCCATACATCAGAATGAACTAAATCAAAACAGTTCTCATATATAGTAGATGATTTAGGAAAGACAGTTCTACAATGTTTGCCTAAAATACAAGCCTCACAAGCATTGTTTTCAAATTTAACATTAGGCAATATCAAGTTCAAAGATCTATGATGGGGATGACCCAATCTAGCATGCCACAAAGCATTATTCTCAACAGCAGAACTAAAGACAAAAGCATTAGATAAAGAGGATGGCTCAGTATTTTCAAGAACATAAAGACCATCCTTTGTTATTCCTTGTCCGAGAAGCTTACTTGACTCAATATCCTGAAAGAAAACCTCATTAGGACTGAATATAGCATAACAATTTAGATCAGTAGTTGCTTTCTTAATAGACAACAGATTAGATGTGAATGAGGGCATGTAAAATGCTTTAGACTGTTTATCAAATAGCTTAAGATCACCAATGCCTTCTATCTTAACCTTTTCACCATTAGCAATAATCACATTTCCTAATGCAGGTTTCATGTTACTAATCAGTTTAGCATCACTAATCATATGATGGCTAGCTCCAGAGTCAACAATAAGTGGTTTATCACTTTTCAAGGCATGATTAGCAGAGTGATTTTCTAAAGAATGATCATGCACAACAGTATTAGCGATTTGATTAGTCAAGTTATGATCATGTAATGCATGAAAGCTAAAGGCTTTAATCGGTTTACCAGACTCTTTAAGAGCCTTAATGAGAGCATCCAGGTCTGATTTCTTCACATATTCAGCTGAGGCCCTCATAGCAACACCTTCCTTCTCACGGTCTGAGAGGCCAGCCTCCTCATGAGCATGAGCTTCATTCGCCCTAGGCTTCCTCTGGTCCTTGCGGCTTTGCTTGAGATGTGGGTACAAAATCCAGCACTTGTTCTTCAAGTGACCCTTCTTTTTACAGTGCTCACATACCCACACTTCACACTCCTCACCACCATAAGAACCCTTGTTGGCCGCTACAGCTTCACTCTTGTTAGCCATCACCAAGTCACTTCCTTTGTTACCAAAGAGACCCAAAGAGCCTTGTTCCTTCTGGATCTGAGAGCAAACTTCCTCCAGGCTTGGTAGAGTCTTGGATCTGAGCATGTGCTTCACCAGATCATTGTAAGTTGGGTTCAAGACCATGAGAAGAGCAAAGACCTTATCTTGCTCTCTTCTTTCATTCAGAGTCTCAGCATCAACAGTGGCTGGCCTCAGCATCTCAAGCTCTGCCCAAAGAGATCTGAATCTACCAAAGAAGGTGTTAAAGTCCAGATCTCCTTGGTGGAAGCTGTTTATTGCCTTCTTAACCTCAAAAACTCTGGTGAGATTACATGTGTTTCCAAACACATTCTTCAAAGTATCCCACAGCTCCTTTGCACTCTCACAATAGGAGTAAGATTCCAACACAGGGATATCCAAAGCACCATGGAGAATAGCTAGAACCGCCTGGTCTTCCTGATACCACTCATCAGAATCAGTCACAGCCGGCTTCTTTCCTCCTTCTTTAGATTCGCCACTCTTTGCATCTTCAACATGATGCCATAGCTTCCTTCCACACAACACAGCCTTAGCTGTTCTTGCCCAAAGCAGATAGTTGTCTGCTCCTTTGAGAACAATCGGTAGAGCCTGAGCTTTGTTTCCCTCCATAGCAACCGTAGCAACACAGATTAACAGAGAAAGAAGAGAAAGTTTGAGTCTTTCACAAGAACAGGGTTTGTACGGACGTTTTCTGGGTTTAGAACAAAGAACAAGCGGTTTTGGAGATGAGATTAGAGAGAAAACAAGAGAAATAAGCCACCAGATTCAAGAACCTGGCTCTGATACCATGAGAGAATATATAGATTAGCAGCGGATAAGAGATGATTAAGAGATTAAGAGATTGTGTTGAGAGATTAGTGATGAACTCGGATGAATGAAGAGAGAATAGAGAGAATGGTGAGAAAGAGATTACTTTTCTCATTTCTTAGAATCACATTTACAGGTGTATACAGCTATTAAAGGAAAAGCAAAGAGCATATTCTAAAAGATTCCTAAGCTAAGAGCCAAAAGAGGAAAAAGTAAAAGCTACTTTACATAAAGCTACTTTAACGTTCAAAAAGAAGGAGAGAGGCTCCTCTCTTATCTTTAAACGGTAACAAGGGAGAGTCTTGGAGGGAAAGGCTTCTCTTGATGATGTAACTTGATGAAGAAGCTATTGCCGAGTTCTCTATGAATTGTACGGACTTGTACGGACACTCCTTGAAGAGATGATCTTAATATTGATGATAATGATCTCTCTTGATTAACAGCGTCTACCTCTTATTTCAAGTCTCAATACTCCCACTTGTCAATATAATGTCAATTGGGATGAGAATATGTCTTTTACTAGAAAGAGTCCAAGTTTTCTAGTTTTCATAGGAGATTTGAGGTGTATCTAAAGGAATTAGAAAACTTGGAAATGATGCATCTCCTTCCACATTTAGTAGTGTCTACCTCATTTTTCAAGTCTCAAAACTCCCACTTGTCAATATAATGCCAATTGGGATCAGAATATGACTTTTACTAGAAAGAGTCCCTGTTTTTTTAGTTTCATAGGAGAATTGAGGATTATCTAAACGAATTAGAAAACTTGGAAATGATGCATCTCCTTCCACATTTAGTAGTGTCTACCTCTTATTTCAAGTCTCAAAACTCCCACTTGTCAATATAATGCTAATTGGGATCAGAATATGACTTTTACTAGAAATAGTCCAAGTTTTCTGGTTTTCATATGAGATTTGAGGTGTATCTAAAAGAATTAGAAAACTTGGAAATGATGCATCTCCTTCCACATTTAGTAGTGTCTACCTCATTTTTCAAGTCTCAAAACTCCCACTTGTCAATATAATGCTAATTGGGATCAGAATATGACTTTTACTAGAAAGAGTCCCTGTTTTTGGAGTTTCATAGGAGAATTCCCCTTGTCAATATAGTGCCATTTTGGATCAGAATATGACTTTTCCTAAAACAATGGTCTATTTTAGATCGAGGCTTCAGTTCTTTGAGCTTGTGAAGATCTTTCTAGTAAAAGTCATATTCTGATCCCAATTAGCATTACATCAAGCCACACTTTGTGCTCCTTTGCCTCATCATAATGTTGGAATTTATTTAAGCGGAATAAAGAGAATTGTTAAGAGAGAAATGATGAACAATGAAGAACAAGAGAGAATAAGTCTCCAAAAGTGTATATTATTCATATGGCGGCTACATTACATTTATAGAGAGACAAGATGAGTCCTAGGTCTAGGTTTTACAAAGAAGAGACAAACAGGTGGTTACATTCTCTATAATCACGTGCAGGAATAAGGCTAAGGCTTCGCTGATCCCGGAGATGATCGTGACAGCTTCCAACGGTCATCTTGACCTTAAATCGACCCGTGACTCTAGAGGGGACCACCGTACGGACGAGCTCTCTTCTAGGCCGAGACTTGGAGACTTTTCTTGGGCCTCTCAACATGTTCAGGCCTCTAATATTATTCTGGCCTTGTAGAAACCCACAAAGGCCTAAACCTGATCAATACTCCCCCTCAAGCTTAGTACTCAAAGTCGCATAGAGATCTTAGAGAGCTAAGCTTGAAGACCCATGAGCATCACCTCATTAAAAACCTTAACAGAGAAAACCACGTGGGACAAAACTCTGTTAAGGGAAAAAGAGTATGATGTCCATGGATCAAGAAGCAGGATCAAGAGTGAGTGAGATCCACCAGTCCAAGCTTGCCAAAGATGTGCCTGCAAACTTTGAGACTCGCGGATTTGGTAAAGATATCAGCCAGCTGGTCTTCACTCTTTGTGTAGCATGGAAGAATAACCCCTTCCTCAATCTTTTCTCTGACTTTATGACAATCGATCTCTATAGACTTGGTCCTCTCATGGAATACCGAGTTTGATGCTATGTGTATCGCGGCTTGATTATCACAATGCATCGTTATTGGACTTGATTGCTCAATGCCAAAGTCTTTTAGAAGAGCTTTGAGCCAGGTTAGCTCACTTGTAAGCTTCCGCATTGCTCTGTATTCGGCTTCAGCACTTGAGCATGAGACCACTTTCTGCTTCTTTGTCTTCCAAGTAACAAGGTTCCCACCAATGAATGTACAATAGCCGGTTGTAGATTTTCTGTCTATCCTATCTCCAGCCCAATCTGAATCACAATATCCCACAATCTCTGTATTATCATTCTTTCCCATCCAAATGCCTTGGCCTGGGCTTCCTTTGAGATATCTGAGAATTCGTTCAACCATGCTCCAATGATAGACGGTTGGGGCCTGCATATGTTGGCTCACTTGATTAACCGCAAAGCACAGATCCGGTCTTGTAAGAGTTAAATAGATAAGCTTGCCCACAAGTCTTCTATATCTTGATACATCCTTGAAGAGTTCATCTGTCTTCTCCCCCTTTCGACTGACCTTGTAGCCATCCTCAAGAGGAGTCTTTGCAGGTTTAGCTCCAAGCATGCCAGTTTCCTTAAGCAGATCGACCGTATACTTTCTTTGAGATAAGAATAGACCTTCTGAAGATCTATAAATCTCTATTCCCAAGAAGTATTTGAGCTCTCCGAGATCCTTGATATCAAATGTGGAATGAAGGAATGCTTTTGTATCTTTGATCCCTTTTTTATCATCACCAGAGATGATAAGATCATCAACATAGACTAGAACCACAACTAGGCCGCGATCAGTCTTCAAGGTGAACAAGGTATGATCCGAGTGAGATTTCTTGAACCCATGAGCGATAAGAGTGGTACTTAACTTGTTATACCAAGCTCTTGGGGATTGTTTGAGCCCATAGATAGCCTTGTGCAACTTTAAGACTTTGCCTGGTGTAAGCGTATCTTCTAAGCCTGGTGGTGGTGTCATATACACTTCCTCTTGAAGATCTCCTTGTAGAAAAGCATTCTTTACATCCATTTGCCAAAGATCCCATGAAAGATTAGTGGCCAAGGAGAGCACCACTCTCACGGTGTGAAGCTTAGCAACCGGAGCAAACGTTTCTTTGTAATCCTCCCCGGGAGTCTGAGTGAACCCGCGAGCAACTAGCCGAGCTTTATACCTCTCAATATCCCCATTACTCTTGTACTTAATCGTGAAAACCCATTTAGAGCTGACCGGTCTCTTCCCTGGTGGTAAATCGGTCTCATCCCAAGTGTGATTACGCTTCATGGCTTGATTTTCATCATCGATCGCAGCAACCCACACCTTTTGATCTTTAGCTTCCTCATAACACGTAGGGATCTCATATTGATCTATTTTCCCAAGAAAGGCCTGATGCTCGGATGGCAAGAGGGCAAGAGAACACACGGCCTGAAAAGGATGGGCAACAGCTTGACTATTGTAGTAGACTCTGGTGTTGACCCAATTTGAGGGATCTTTAATAAGTCTTGAACTCCTTCTAAGCGGCTGTACTACTTCCTCGACAGCCTCAGGTTCATCTTGAGAGGCTCCTTCCTCTGTCTCCATATTTCCTTGATCTTGTGGGCCTATTGTCTCACCACCCACTGAAACCGGTGCCGGATCTTGGCTTGGACCCATCTCCTGATGCTCTTCCTCCTCTAGTTCCTCATCTACAGTAGCTGTGGCTTGAACCGGAGTTTGTCTTGGTGGAGCTTGATTACCAAGATGATCCAATAGAAACCGCAGGCTTGTGGCAAGGTCAGATGGTGAACTAGACAGATCTTTCAAGCTCTCCCAATCTTTCTTGACATAGTATCCTTGCTCCTCAAGGAATTTGACTTCTCTAGAGACATAGGTTCGGTTGTTGATAGGGTCATAGCACTTGTATCCCTTTTGAGTTGTGGAGTATCCAAGGAACATACACTTGATACTTTTGGCATCTAGCTTGCTTCTCTGCTCACCTGGAATCAACACAAAGCACACACACCCGAAAACACGTAAATGCTCAAGAGAGGGTTTAGATTTGTTTAATACCTCAAACGGAGACATGTCTTGTAAGACTCTCGTAGGGATTCTGTTAATGAGGTAACAGGCTGCAAGGACCGCATCTCCCCAAAATCTCTTAGGCACATTTGCATGAAATAGCATAGACCTGGCCACCTCCATCAAGTGTCGATTTTTCCTTTCAGCCACACCATTTTGTTGTGGGGTATATGGACAGCTAGTTTGATGTAGGATCCCATGCTTAGATAAATGCTCCTTGAATTTTTGGCTTGTGTACTCCCCACCATTATCTGATCTAAACACTTTAATCTTGGCATTAAATTGGTTAGTTACATAGTTCTGAAAGTTTGTGAAAGCCTCAAATACTCTATCTTTTGAAGGAAGAAGAGTGACCCATGTATATTTCGATTTTTCATCTATGAAAGTCACAAAATATTTGTTACTATCCCTAGACATACATGGTGAGGTCCAAACATCAGAATGCACAAGATCAAAGCAATTTTCATAAATAGTAGATGATTTAGGAAATACTATTCTGCAATGTTTGCCGAGAATACAAGACTCACAACTAGAGTGATCAAAAAAAATATCAGGCAGCATTAATTCAAGAGCACGTGAATGTGGGTGGCCTAATCTAGCATGCCATACAGCACTAGTTAAATAACAAGACTTAAAAGAGACATCAGCGTCAGGTTTATTTGGTGAAACATCTTCAAGAACATAAAGATCATCCCTGGTTCCACCTTTCCCAAGTAACTTCCCACTCTCAATATCCTGAAAATGAACATCATTAGGACCAAAAATCGCATAACAATTTAAGTCTTTAGTTGCTCTTTTCACTGATACTAGATTAGAGGTGAATTTTGGGACATAGAAAGCTTCGCTAGTCTTGTTAAACAGATTCAGTTTACCAATTCCCTCTATTGGGATTCCATCACCATTAGCTATTATCACTTTACCTAGGGCAGGTTCTATACTGTTCAAGAGTTTAGAATTATTTATCATGTGATGAGAGGCTCCCGAATCAACAACTAGACCGCTACTAGGTTTATGTGAGTAAAAGGTGATACCGGATTGTTTAGAGGCAAAAGCTTTGATGAGGGCCTCCAAGTCGCTCTTCCTCACATACTCCTCTGAAGCGCTCATAGCCACTTCTCCCCCTGAGTTGCTTCCTGCTGCTGGTTCATGAGCGAGGTTTGCCCTGGCGTCCTTGAACTTGTTGGGCTTAAGATGGGGATGGAGGATCCAGCATTTTTCCTTTGAGTGGCCCTTCTTCTTGCAATGGTCGCAGACCCAAGTCTTCCTCTCTTCCGGTTTGAAAACTCCTTTGTTAGCTGAGATGAGTTCTCCTTTCTTGAATAGACCTATGGAGCCCTGCTCCTTTTGGATTCTGGCGCACACGTCTTCAAGGCTTGGAAGCTTGTCATCTCTTAAGATGTGCTTGATAAGGTCATTGAAGACTGGATTCAGTGTGAGAAGGAGACCGAACACCTTGTCCTGCTCTCGCCTTTCATTGAGAATCTTGGGATCTAGAGTACTCGGTCGCAACATCTCTAGTTCAGCCCACAAGGATCTGAACTTTCCAAAATGAGTCTTGAAATCCATATCTTCTTGACTCAGGTCATTAATAGCCTTCTTTACTTCAAAGACCCTGCTCAGATTTGTATCATTTCCGAATACGTTCTTGAGAGTTTCCCAAAGAGACTTTGCTGTCTCACAGTAGGAGTAAGCTTCAAGAATCGCCGGTTCAAGAGAGTTCTGAATAAGACCAAGAACAGTTTGGTCTTCTTGAAACCACTTAGCTTCTTCGGCCTTGGCCTCTTCACTCTTTGTCTCGCCTTTGGTGTCTTCATCTTCTTCTGGTGTTTTGTCCTCCAAAACATGGCTCCAGAGACCGCGACCACACAAAGCTGTTTTTGTGGTTCTTGCCCACAACAGATAGTTTCCTCCTCTGAGAATAACTGGAATAACAATCGCTTTCGAGTTTTCAGTAGCAAGAATGCTTGAACTTGAACTCATCTTTGTTGTTCAAGAACAGAAAAGAATGCGGAGAAGAGAGAGAAACAAAATAAAACTTGAGAACCGAAAGATTGTCGAGATTTGAGAATGAGAGGATTTAACGAGTATTTTAGAGAGATTTAGAGATTAAATGAGAAGAGATTCATGTTAAAATGCTCAGAACCTGGCTCTGATACCATGTTGGAATTTATTTAAGCGGAATAAAGAGAATTGTTAAGAGAGAAATGATGAACAATGAAGAACAAGAGAGAATAAGTCTCCAAAAGTGTATATTATTCATATGGCGGCTACATTACATTTATAGAGAGACAAGATGAGTCCTAGGTCTAGGTTTTACAAAGAAGAGACAAACAGGTGGTTACATTCTCTATAATCACGTGCAGGAATAAGGCTAAGGCTTCGCTGATCCCGGAGATGATCGTGACAGCTTCCAACGGTCATCTTGACCTTAAATCGACCCGTGACTCTTGAGAGGACCACCGTACGGACGAGCTCTCTTCTAGGCCGAGACTTGGAGACTCTTCTTGGGCCTCTCAACATGTTCAGGCCTCTAATATTATTCTGGCCTTGTAGAAACCCACAAAGGCCTAAACCTGATCAATAAGGTGTATCTAAAGGAATAAGAAAACAAGTAAATGATGCATCTCCTTCCACAAGGAGATGCTGACGAGCCGTGATTCTAGTTGTCCTGTTCTAACTCTGCCATTGGCTTGTATCACTCGGCTTAATATGACTTTTAGTAAGAAGAGTCCCAGTTTTCTGATTCTCATAAGAGATTTGAGGTGTATCTAAAACAAGGTGCATTATCGGAGAAGTTAAGACCTGTCTCAGTGTGTTACATGTTATCTTCATGTCTAGAGCTTGCAAAGAGTAGCTCAGGTTAGAATGATATTATGCCATTCAGATATAGCAAGGCTGGGAAATAATCTGTGAAAGCACAACGAAAGAGTTAGTCTCAGGTTTTGGGTGCTCACTGGGAAATCACGAGAGAAAGCAAGAAGGCATCAGAATATGTACCTGAAATTGCAATGACAGTCAGTGTATTCATGATATCTGGAAAAAACCCAAGCTTTGAGGAAGATTTCAAGGGTGAGTATCAGACAAATAAGAAAGGTCCTTGGTGAAGAGGAGAAGCTCATGGAGTCATCGGAGGCTGAAGTAGAGGATATAAGTCAAAGACTTGGAGGAGGAGACAATAGTTGTTGCAAAGTCTTGACTTGGAGGAGGAGAAAGTAGATGTTCTTCTTTCAAATGTGTTGTATGATTAAAGGAGTTGCCTTTTGAGTGGATTCTGAGAATCAGTGAGTGAGATTATAAAAGTCATTGAGGTCGATGCTGAGTTTTGAGATTATAGAAATCATTGAGATCGATACTGTGTTCATAGGATGCTTGGAGTACAAACACATTGGACATATGATGTTTGTATCGGTTGTAGCCGAGCGGTAGACTTTGTAGAGTTATCATATCCACAAATTCTTCATCTAGAAAAGAGTGGTAGACATTGTAGTCTTGGATACTACTGCAATTGTAATTGCAATCTTATTCTAGTGGATTTGTTCTGGACTAGGTCTCGAGGATATAGAAAAACCAAATCTCGTTAAAAAACTTTATGTGTTATTTATTTATGCACATACATACTCAAACATATGGATTTGTTTTAGACTAGGTCTTGGGATGTAGGGAAACTGAACCTCGTTAAAAAACTCTGTGTTATTTACTTTACTTACCATCGAAGACAACAGTTCAAGAGACTCGGTTATTGTATCACCTTTTCTATTATTTATACATTCTTGATTTGAGTAACTTCTAGTTTCATTAAATTTTTTAATGCTATGAAACTTTCCATTCCAGTGCACATCAAGCATTGGATGCACCATTTAGCCCATTAGCTAACGAGAATTCGGATAAACCTAGAAAAGACTTGTTTCATCTCTCTCTTTAAATAATGGTTTGCAGTATTGGGCCCTTTTGTGTATCAAGATTATTATTATATTAAATTGGGCCAAAACAAAATGACCTCAATATGTAATTTTCGACCGTCTCTATGACATTTTAGATCTCCGCAGGAAGAAGAAGGAGAAGACGAAGGAGAAAAATGAGGCCGATGCAGCTGGATATGCTGGCGGAGATGGATGATGCAGGTTCTTCGATGGCCATGGACGTGGATGATATCGAAGCGATGGAGATTCTTAGCGAAGGAGGACATATCTCTGAGAACAAGCTCGTCGACGCCGATTTCTTCAACAAATTCGAGGATGATTTCGACGATGCTGATATCAACTGATCCGGTTTGGGTTTTCCGCCATTTCAATTCTCTACAGTTTTAGATCTCCTTTGCTTTTCTGGGTCAAGTTTCGTTTTTTTATTTTATGTAATTTCCTTGAAGGATCGATGTATGAGTGTCTTTGAGATTTTGCGTTTGTGATGTACTTAAACTCTTCGAAATCGAAGTTAATATAACTCTTTAGATTTCTTAATCTCAGCATTAAGTATGATTTATGCTTTGTCTGATATGGTTTTGTGATTTGTCTTATTGGTTTTGCTATGTTTGCCTGGTATTGGATAATGACTTAAAGTTAGAAACTTTTCTTGTATCTCGCTTTGATTCGTTTTATATTTTATTCGACATTGTTTGCTTGTGATTTCACTATGGGTTACATTCTCTCTCTGACCAAGTTTTGTATTTTGGCTTTAGATCATCTTGCTCGGTAGATGGACATAGTGTGTGATTGCTGTTGAGTTCTTGACGCATAAAGATATCAGATTTATTTTGTTAGATGAAAGATTCATCTGCGAGTTCGAGGTTCATGTGCATAGCAAGTGTACTAAAGATGGATTAGTGGTATATGACACAAATCCAATCTCAGCCGTCGGATTCACCCAAAGATTCATCTGGTTATGTTGTTCTGTGGAGAAGGGAGGGGTTTTTCTTTGTTTCTTTTATGAAAGTAAATTCATTTGGTAATTAGTCTGGTTTTAGTTAATAAAATAGGGTTTCATTGTTCTAATTAAATCTCAAAGACGTCAAACAAAATTTAAAACTTGAAGATTCATTTGATATAAAGTTAGAAGAATAATCCTATTTTAGAAACGATTTTGAAACATGATATTCTTCCTTCGTGATGTACAAATCGAATTCGTGTTTAATACCATACTAACATCCACATTTGATATATCGTGTTTAATGTAATGATAACAAACGCTGTACACTGTGACCATTTCACTTCCTAATTAATGATATGCAGAAAGTTAAATATATATATATATATATATATAATCGGTGTAAATCTAGTTCATGTTAAACCGAAGAACCAACAAACCAACAAACTGAGACAAATAAACCGAAATCTGATTTTCCATCCATAAGTGTCATAAACAATAAATTTGTATATATTTCGTCGTAGCTCATAGACTGAAGAGTGAATGTGTTACAGAATGTTTGGGCGATTTTGCTTAAGACTCTCTACCTCTCCCAGAGACGTTGGAGTAACTCTCCGAAAGGTAATTTTTCTTGTCGGTACGGTCATTGGAAAAGAACATTTCCTTTTCCCTCACCTCAATTTGCTCGTATTAGCTCTAGTTAAGGATATTTGCTTTGTTCTTCCCCGTCGCAAAATTGAATTTCAAGAGATCTTTCACCAACAACAGCCGCTCTACATATTGTCTCTCGATACACTCTCTCCGAAATCAGTGTTTTGGAAACAATTTTCTCTGTTTTTGTTACTTATGGACACTTCTTTGAACATGGCCATGGGAGCAATGAATTTAGAGGAAGATCTGCCGATAGATATTCTTGTCGATGGTGCTTTCAATGCGGTGGAGAGGAGTATCCTTAGCCTGTTTGGGTGTCTATTGGATCCTGAAGTTCAGAACATGGCAAAGATGTACGCTCCAAGCCAAGGATTTGGAGAATCTATGATAGGGTAAGGGTGTTGCACTTACACATGACACTTTCCAATTCATCTTCGAATGGGAAAAAGACTTACATACGGTCATGAAGATGGGCTTATGGACTTTTGATGAGTGGGGGACGGTGCTGGACCATTGGCTAGAGAATTCTTTATCTGATTTTCTTAAAACTGCTCCTCTGTGGATTAAGTTACACAAGATCCCCGTGAATTATCTCATTTTGGCTACCATTCAAGCAGTAGCAGGTTAGATTGGCAAGGTCAAAGAGATTGCTTACGATCTTGCAAAACCTCTGCTGCAGGCTAGTGTCAGAGTTCTTGTAGCTCTGAATCAAGATGATCCAGTGAGAGATACAAAGTCACTGAACCTTCCTCGGGGTGCTGTTGCTACGGTGGAGATTGAGTATAAAAAGAAGTGCAAGAAGTGTTTCAACTATCTTTGATTAACTCACGAGAAACAGAGTTGTCCTTTGCTTCATGAACAGGAAGAACATAAGGCATTAGTCAATGAGCAGACAGGGTGCAAACATCACACAAATCTGGCTGAGCAGATTATGTCTTTCTTGAATACATCTGTTCCTCCTGGTTTTGAACCACAATCGAATATTATGGCTCCGAATGTATTCGAACAAATACGTATCTACATGTCAAGGGGTGATCCTGAAGAATGGAGTCTTCGAGAGTTGAAGATGAAGAAAACGTTGGATGAATTGTCCAAAGACCCCATTGCTCCACGGTCTTGCCTTCGTTAGGAAGCACCACCGGTGTTTACCCTCATTCAGGTTACCAATGGAAAGGACACAGTTCTTGATACAGAGAAGATTCCGGTTCTTGGGTCTTTCGGGTGAGAAACCCTCCTCCTCTAATGTTGTAAACTTCTCGGATGGTGAAGCAAATAGTGGTCCCCTAAGATCTCTACACACTCTTAATGAGAGGCCAAGCACGACAAAGAATCCGACTGGTCACATGGAAGAGGAGACAAGACCTATGACAAAGACTCTAATGAAAAATATTGAACCAGTCACTGCCGTGCATCAGGTGGAATCAAAACTACAAGAAGGATTGGGCAGTTTCATTCCTCCACCTCTTGATGGTGGTTTTAATGTTGGCTATGCTGAACCAAGTATGTCCGGGACCAGCAGCAGAAACAACAAGTCAAAAAAGGGTCGATGGGTGAGAATGCAAAGTGCCAACCAAAAGCAAAGAGCAATGGTATATTCAAATGATCCAAAAGCACTAGACACAGACTCGGAACGATCTTCTGAGCGAAAAGCGACTGGGAACTCTGAAGTATCGTCCAAGTAATCTAAACAAACATCGGATTTAATGGTTCACCAGAAACTATCCAATATGTTCATATGACGACACTCATTTGGAACTGTCGAGGATTGAGGGACGACCCGACGGTTCGACGCCTTAAGGTAATGTGTCGCGAGCATTTCCTGGATTTTGTGTTTCTCCTATAGACTAAAATTCTAGTGATCATGTATTGAATGTTAGGAGATTATTGGGTTACGACCACGGTCATTTGGTAAATCCAGTGGGTCTCAGCGGTGGTTTGGCATTGTTTTGGAATCAATCTCATCAAGTGGATATTCTCTTCTCAGAAAATAGGATGATTGATACGAGATTAGAAATTGGTTTGGTGGTGTATTTCATCACTTTCATCTACAGTGATCCAGTTCGACATATGCGGTCGGGTTTAGAAGAAGATTACAGACATTGGTGTGATAAGAGATGCTGCTTGGTGTACAGCAGAATATTTTAATGAAATTATGAATAATGGAGAAAAAATCGGAGGTCCTCCTCGAACAGGATCAAGTTTCTCCATTTCGAAGCTTGATAAGAGATTGCCGCATTAAAGAAATCCCAAATTCTGGTAACAAATTCTCTTGGGGAGATAGAAGAGAAGTCATTGGTTCGAACGGTCAAAGGAAGTTAGTATGGGTACAATGTCGTCTGGACAGGGCTTTTTGGTAACTATGAATGGTTTAGACTATCTCCAAGAGCACATGCAGAATATTTGAAGATGGATGTCTCGGATCATAGTGCTCTTCTCATGCGAACCGCGATAACAACTCCACGTCGCACGTGTCGGTTTGTTTTTGATAAAAGATGGTGTGAAAAACCAGGGGTGAGAGAGGTTTTTAAAAAGAGATGTATTTTACAGAATCAAAATGGTCGCAATTCTGTTTTTGATTGTATATCTAGATGTCGAAAGAAGCTGGCCAATTGGAAGAGATCATCTGATTCAAACTCGAAGATAAAGATTCAGGGATTGCGTGAGATTGATGAGGAATCCCCAAAAATGCACCTGGATTTCCAGAAACTGGATGATTGAAGATCGCGTTAGTTAAGACAATTAACGAGGAGGATGTTTTATGGGAAGAAAAAAGTAAGCAGTGTTGGCTTATAGGGGGAGACAAGAATACCGGTTTCTTTCATGACAGTGTGAAAGCACAGAGGATGCAACAAAATTCATTCTTTGGTAGATTCGAGTAGAACTGAGCATTTTTCAGAGGTGGAAATTGCAGTAGACTATTTCACAAATCTTTTCTGTTATTCGGTTGAGTAACGCCACAGATGAACCGCGATTTAACTAAATTGGTTTTAAATTTTGATCTTAAAGGGCGGTTAAAGGCATCAAAGGTGATAGCACTTTTGGGGCCGTGATAACACCGTATTTTGATCACTTTTATGTATCGTTTTGAAATACTTTTTCTATGTTTTTAATTGCTTTTAAGTACTTTTATTACGTTTTTCTAGTATTTATAGTTCCAAGACTCTTTTCAGGTAACTTAGGGAAAAGCTTAACAAAATGGATAGAAAACCTGATTTCAGCTCAGAGTCAAACCGTCAGAAATTCACCCCTGATTGAATGCCTTCTCACCGTCGGATTCAGCTCAAATTTGGAGATCTTAAAGATGGAAGTATCAGCTTTCCAGCACACTTTACAGCTTGGCAATCCAACGGTTTAATCAAAAGATACGCGAAGAACAAGATGTCCCGTAAACCAGCCGGCAAGCATTTCCACCCGCGACCAACAAGCTATTTCCCGCGGTCAGAAGCACCGCGACCGCGGCCAGCCATCCATTCCCTGCGGTCACAGCCATCCCGACCGCGGCCAGCCAACTCCGAGCCCGAAGGCCCATTTTCTGAAGCCCACAATGATTCCCTCATTTGGAGAAATCCTAAGTGACGTCCAGAGATGTCTTGAGCACTATAAATACATGTTTTAGGAACCCTAAAAGAAGAGAACCAAATCATTACTTCATATTTTTATTGTTTTTGCTTTAGCTTTTAGGGAGAGAGAGATTTGTCTCTTGAACCCTTGTTCTTTCTTTTTCAATTTCGGTTTCTATTCTACTTATTAATACTATGTTTTCGATTTCGTTTATTATGTCTGAGTAGTTTTATTGTTGGGATTAAGGGATTTTCGATGGGGATTTATATGTTCGATGAGGATTCCATGAGCTTTTGAGCCGAATCTTAGAACTTTTTCTTCTGAATTCGTTTTTACTGCATGAGAGTAGCGTCATGAACTACAATCTGATCCAGATGCTTGGTGACACGAAAATGTTCATCCG